TTTTTTACCCATTATTTAATTCAGGAAAAATCGTGCAAGTTCATGTCCGCGGCGCGGCCGAGGCCAGCCACGGCTGCGGACATGAGCACGGCTGCTTCTCGAGCTCGACCCCGCGGACACGTCCGTGGGTGTTTCACAGAACATCAGGGTCACTCCTATACTTGGAGATGCCTTCCAACAACTTCCCCGGGCCAATCGGCAATGACATCATCTGAGCCCACCAAACGGAGACTCACCCACATGCGCATGCACTGGTACACATGGCATCAAAACTCCTGGCATCAAAACTCAACAAGTAAGCACGGAACATGCAAGATCGGTTGATCACAAACATATCCAGAGAACACAGCAAACAAAGTCTGAATCTGAATCTTTAGCAAAAACATCAACGGGACAACGGACAGGATTTTCTTAGAAAAGTCGCGAGTTCTTGCACAGCACAAACAAAAACGATGCTGCCAAGGTAATGGCTCCCCAAACAGAACACACAAAGATAAAGCAAAAAAAAAGGGTCAGTGGTATTCCCGCCTATTATCTTGTACGCAGGTTTCCGTCTGCTCTCAGGCTCTTCTTTTTCTTATTGTGAAAGAAGCGGCATATGATAGGGTAGTTCCTTATGCTTTTTCTTTCTTTTGTGCGCTTTTCCTTTTCTGTTTTTGCAAGCGAAGCCGCAACGGGTCATCTAGTTTATTTTTTTTTATTATTATTATTTTAGAATTCATTTGAAACTCTTGTAAATTCGAAAATACTTAACTATCTTTTCCCAGTTTTTCTACATTTCTTTTTTTTTTCAAAATTCGAAAATATTTTCTTTTTTGAAATTTTGGAAAGTACGTAGAATTATTCTTTCCCGGCATTTCTTCCTCGAAATTCGAAATAGATTTAATTAATTCTTTTTTGAAACTTTTGTGTTTCGAAAATACTTCAGAATTAATTAAACTCTTTTTTTAGATTTCTTTTTCATAATTCGACATTTCTTTGAAATTCGAAAACAAAGTAATTTTTCAATTTTTTGGAAATACGTTCTAATTAATTAATTCTGTCTTGTTTTTTTAAATTCGAAAACAATTTTAATTACTCCTTTTTCTTGTATATTTTAAATTCATAAAATTCGTTCTTGATTTTTTTTTTTTAATTCGAAAATACATCATGTCATGATTGTGATCAATTCAATTCTTTTTTTTTTTTTTTTTTTTTTTTTTTTTCGAATTTGGAATTACCTTTCTTTTTGAAACTGTTATGCTGAACTCTTCAATTAATTTTGACTAAATCTGATTAATTCAGGACTGAATTAATTCCTTTACTCGGAATTAATCATCTTTTTTTTTAAATTTCAGCATCTTTCTTTTTCGTTATAAATTCTACCCTGGCGAAAGTCCAAATAAATTAAGTTAGAATTTATTTCTCTTCTCGAAATTAATTACTCTTTTAAAGTCTTTTTCTGCACTTGAAAAATCATGAAAAATCCATTTTCTATCTCAAACCTTTTTTAAAAAAAATTCTTGAAAAATACACTCTCGAATTAATTTCGAATAAATTCAAATTAATTTATTTAAAATTAATTTTTGTTTTGCGATTTTTTTACCTTCATTGCTAAATCCATTGATGTTACGCTACCCCCGGACATGACACGCACAACCAGGAACTCTCAACGCTCAGCCGTCGACGTCGCCACTGCTGCCGCGCCTCCACCGCCGCATCTGCTGCTAATGGAAGGAACCTGTCCGTTCGTCACTTGCTGGAGTGTATCAAATAACATGCATGTAACTCAGATCTCACAGATTTGTAATGTATCACACAAAGTGCAGTGGAAGATGAGTCGAAACCAGGAAGCGCAACTCAATTATCACAACCAGATTAAGGAAAGAGAACCACGAGTTCAAAATGTAAAGCGCCCAACAGTATTCGAAGTCTTCTTCATCCAACAAGAGTTCTAGGCCTAGCACTCGTCAGCGCCAGCAGCCAATCTTCAAGAACAGCGCTCAGTAGGTAAGTTTCACCATAGCTCACTTATCTCCCCTTCTCTTCTTCTGTTCTCTCTTTCTCTCTCAATGTCTATAGCCCTGGTCTACTCACACTCACCATGCATGCACACTCCCTAGCACATGATGATCTACTCTGAATACTGCTCACTGGTCTTTCCTACTAACTAGTTCCCATCACTAATACTAACTGGCGCTGGCGCAGCTATGGCTGCTCTTCCAGCCAGCACTCAATTCTCTCTCCCTTCAGCGCAGCTCTCAAGCCTGGCGCAGCTCAATCACATCTGGCGCACACGTGCCTCAGCACTTCCACACTCTCATGCGAATGAGTATCTGCCAAATGGGAGGCTGACTAGTCCTTTATGGTGCTGGACTGGTCTGGCGTGGTCTGCGTCCAACCTCCAAGTGCCTGGGACTCAAACCCGGTACCTGTTGTTGCAAAGTGTGTGTCCCAATATCCTTTTCCATGATCTGCTGCTGCTTTGGCCGACGGGCCTGTCTTTTGGACTCCTGGTCTGAATCCGATGTGACCCTTGGGACTGTGACTCATCCGGGACTGCAACCTTATCGCCGAACAGACATGACCCTGTCGCAGTCTTAAAATTGAGCCCAGTACCTGTTCGTCAAGGACCTGACTGTGACTTTTCAAAACAACTTTTCACTTCACTCTGGATGCGACATTTGCTTCAGGGATCTTGTCCTTTGGAATGCTGCTTGTGAAATGGAGTTCTGGCCGACAGGGCCCCTTTTTATGTTGGGGTCGCATTTAGGGGTCTGAATCGTAAAGACCCTTTTACTCTCGCCGGCCTAATTTCGAAGTCCTCTGAGAAACACTTATCTGTCTACAATATTAGCACCTCTTCTTGCTCTTTCATAGTAGGACACTCTGTTTGGTGCAGATTCCATCAACTCTTCCCTACTGTACCAGCGGTCTTCATTTGGATCCTGATATGCAAATTTGACTTTATATTGCCGCTGAGGTCTACCTTTGTGCCCAGTCTGAATAGTACTTTCAGCAATGATTCTATCAACATCAAATTTCCCATCCATACTCGGAGGAATTGCTGATTTTCGACTGGGAAATCGTTCATTAGTCGCGCAAGGTAAGAGCTTTGATGCATGGAATACTGGGTATGTGCAAGTGCGGAGGAATCTCAATAACGTAGGAGGGACCATCGACGCCTCCTATCACATCCAAAGTACTTGCAACCTTGAGCTCTACACAGCAAATCATCAATTTTGGGTAATGGCTGAGCATTTGTAACAGTTATGTTATTTAATCTTCTATAATCAATACACATGCGGACCCCGCCATCTTTCTTTGGCACAAACAACACTGGCGCACCATAGGATGAGGAGCTAGGTTTCATCTAACTACACTGGCGCACCATAGGATGAGGAGCTAGGTTTCATCTAACTGGGTTCGCAATTCGCAAGTTTTTGTTTCTTAGATTTTTATAATATTTTGTACCCAAAATGCTTGACATAATTGCAGCTTTGTGATAAGCTAACTCAATAAAGTCGGCCGGGATAGCTCGGTAGGTGAGATGCTTGTGCCCATAAAAAGTCTCTCAGCCATCCGTTAATAGTAATAGCACTCTGAGCAAAATTACCTCCTGTTACACATAAGACTCGACTGCAACAAACCAATGCAATAGACTTTCTTCCTTTTTGCCTTTGTTAGTCCACGGAACTTTCACTTTGAATTTTCTTACCTCTCCCACTTTGTCCTGACGCACCCCCTTCTTCTTCTTGTCTCCATCTCCATCTCCATCTCCTCCACCTCCTTCGCCGTTACGTGTCAATTTCTCAATCACGGCGTGTTAATTTCAATGCCCTTGCCGCCACAACCCCTTGAGAAGGCAAAATCCCTTCATCATTCTATGCAAACGAGATTCCCACCTTCTCAGGGTGGTACATTGAAATGACCAACCGCCATCACGCCAGTCTCCCACCTCACACCTTCCTTGAGTGGGCCACCCTCATCACCTCCACCTTCCGTCCACAAAGACACGGTTGACGATTACATCAACCAATTTTGTCGGCTCCAACAATACGTCCGCTCGCTTCGCCAACATATCCCTATCGATATCGTCAGTGACTTCACATTCATCTCCTTCTATAAGCGCGTATGCCGTAAGACCTAGCCACCGCCCTCGTCCACGAACCCCCCATGACCCTCACCGACCTTCTCACTCGCACCCTCCAAATTGATCGCCTCTTCTCTCCTTATAAGACCGCACTTAGATCGGCTCCTCCCCGCCCTCGCTTCTTCCACAACATCGCCTTCGAGGACACCACCGCCACCACCTCTTTGGACGAGTTCACCGCCCCTGACCCCGACACCTGCTCCGATCCACTAGACACCACATGGCTCTCCGTAGACGGACTCTTTGCCATCCACCTCATGCGGATGGAAAGGAGAGAATGCACCAGCCGTCCTCCCACAACCACCCACCCAGGCCGCCTCAAAAAGCTCACGCCGAAGGAGCGAACCTACCTTGAGGAGAAAGGTGGTTGTTTCAGATGCCGGTGATTAGGCCATCAACAGACAAACTGTCCAAATACCGCACAGATCACACGTTAGGCACCCAGGTCCGCGGCCCCCCAACATGCCACTCCCGGTTCTTTTACTGGAACACTGCCCCCATGGTAACCACGAACTCGCCCCGACATTGATGACTAGTCTGTTTCGGCCATCCCATCTGTGAAGATCTCCATCCCACCGGTGGCCCATTTGGCATAGACAATATGTTTGCCTCCCCCCTCTTTGGTGCCGCGCATCCCATTAGGCAACCCCCAGGCGTTGCAACCCTCGTCGCCTAACGCCCCCCTCACCGCTACATGTTCCTCGACCCTTTGTCACCTTCTCTGATGTTGTTGAGGAACAAGCTTGACACCACTGCTTGTCCGATTTGGCAATGAACAACGCTGCCTCAACACCATTATCTCCACCGCCAACTCATCACGCTTCCACCTCAAACTCATCGCCGCCACCCTTGGTGCGTTTACGACTAAGTTTCGGGCCCTCCTCGACATTGGAGCCACCGATAACTTCATCACCGACGTGTGTGTCTGGAAAGCCGGCCTTACCTCCACCGGTTACGACTCGATTACGATTCGTTTAGGGGACAAAGACCGCCGTCGTAGTAGATCGCACGATTCCCGAGACCACCATGACTGTCGGTACCCTCCGCAGTCATGCACTTCTACCCCAACTTCCTCCGCCTTACCAACCCCTTTGACACAACCATCGACATTCCCTATCTCCCCTATCCCACCTCCCCAAGCTCCGTCACCCCGCACCATGCCTTGATTGGAATGCGGCAGGGGCGTTCGTGAGTTCGAATGGCATCACGAGGAATTCGTAGTGCCCGAATTGGGAACGGAAGGCGGTCTTGTGGGTATCCTCCTCGCGGATGAGGATCTGGTGGTAGCCACTGCGGAGGTCGATCTTGGTAAAATACTTGGCTCCACGAAGTCGATCGAGAAGCTCAGAGATCCGAGGTAGAAGGTACTTGTTCTTGATCGCGATCCGGTTCAAGGCGGGGTAGTCTGTGCACATTGGAAATTCCGATGTTCCGCCTTTTTTTACGAAAAGGACACTTGTACCGAAGGGGGATGACCTCGGCTTAATGAATCCTTTTTCAAGGAGGTCATTGAGTTGCCTCTTCATTTCTTCGGCTTCCGGAACGGAGAGTTGGTACGGAGGGCGGCAAGGTGGAGAATGATCGGGCTCCAAATCGATGGTGTGGGACACGCCACACTCCGGAGGTAATCCGATAGGCAAGGACTCGGGGAAGACGTCCTTGAACTCGTCGAGGATGGAGGTGAGGGCGGGGTCGGAGGGGGGGGGGCTTGGTCGAGTTCGTCCGTTGGGAGCAAGTCCTCGGGACGCTCGCGATACAATGAATCACATCTTCCGCGACCTCCTCGAAGTCCTGTGTTGTTGTCTACCTCGATGATATCCTCATCCATAGCCCCACCTTCGAGTCCCACCTTCAGCATCTCCTCCAAGTCCCCTCTATCCTCAGAGAGCAAAAATTCTACGCCAAGCTCATCAAATGCNTCCATAGCCCCACCTTCGAGTCCCACCTTCAGCATCTCCTCCAAGTCCCCTCTATCCTCAGAGAGCAAAAATTCTACGCCAAGCTCATCAAATGCACCTTTGCCGCTTCGAGCGTCGAATACCTTGGCCACATCGTCTCCGCTGAAGGTATACGCATAGACCCCTCGAAGGTCACCGCCTTTGTCGAGTGTCCACCACCCAACACCCTACTCCAACTTTGATCCTTACTTGGCCTTGCCAACTGCTACCGCCCCTTTATCCGCAACTTCTTCGACATCTCGTACTCCCTCCACGAACTCACCCGCAAGGACGAACCCTTCACTTGGAACAACCGTTGTCAAAGCGCCTTTGATGCCATCAAACAACTCATCACCACGGCCCTTGTCCTCAGGATCGTCAACCCCACTCGCCATTTCTACGTCACCACCGACGCCTCCGACTTCGCCATTGGAGCCGTCCTTTCCCAACATTTTCCTCGTGACACAACCAAAACTCCCTCCATCGAGGAATCCCCTACCCACCCCAAGGCCGCACCCGACGAATACCCCATCGCCTTTGCCAACAAGAAACTCCTCGTGGAACTGAACTACCCGTCCAACGAGAAGGGACTCCTCGCCGTAATCCATGCCCTCAAAGTCTGGCGCCCGTGCCTTGATGGGCAATACTTCATTCACACCGACAACACCATAGTCTCCTCCATTCTCATCAAGAAAGGCATCACGCCCCGCCAAGCCCGCTGGTTATACTTTTTTGCCCAATTCACATTTACTATTTGCCACACTCCTGGCAAAAGCAACCACGTTGCTGATGCCCTTTCTCGACTCCTTGACCACAAGCCCCTCGAGAAAGTCTATGCCTCCATGACCCACATTAAGCTCCTCCTATCGCTCCATCACCGATATAGACAAGGCTACCTCTCATGCCCCGACTCCTCCACCGTCTACAACAAGCTTCGTGACCTCTACCCTGTCCCCGACTACTCCCTCCACGACAATCTTCTCTACATCGACACCAAAGGCACTCGCTGACTTTGCATCCCCGACGCACGTGGTCTCCGTACACAGCTCTTGGCGGAGCACCACGACGCCAAGACTGCGGGACATCTCGGGTTCCAAAAAACCTTTGACACCATCTCCCGCTGCTTCCACTGGCCTTCCCTACACGTCGACGTCAAAGCTTACATTTGCTCATGCCCCACATGTCAAGTCGTCAACCCTTCGAACCGGGCCAAACCCGACAAGTTACAGTCATTGCCTATTCCCACTGACCGGTGGCAGTCCATCTCTATGGACTTCGTGTGCGGTCTACCCAAGACCGACCGTGGCCATGACTGCATCTATGTCATCGTCTGTCTCTCGACTAAACACGCACACTTCATCCCTTGCGCTACTTTGCACAATGCCAAAGACGCCGTCACTCTCTTCTTTGATCATGTCGCACGCCATCACAGCCTCCCGAGAACATCATCAGTGATCGTGATCCCTGTTTCCTTTCACAATTCTGGAAACACCTCTTTAAAGCCTACGGAACCACGGTCAAGCATAGCACTGCATTCCACCCACAGGCCGATGGACAAACCGAGAAGATGAATGATACTCTCCAAAGAATCCTGCTATTGTCATCTACATCAACACGAATGGGATCAGTTGCTCACTGCCGCCGAGATCGCCTACAACAACGCTGTAGACTGTCCTTCCACTGGCATGTCTCCATTCTACCTTGACCTTGGCTATCACCCTCGCTTGCCCTCTGACTTTTTGCTTCCTTCGCAACTTAAACCCTCCACCCCCTGCCCTTCCCCCAACGAATGGGTAGCAACAGTGAATCGACTCCTCAGAGAAGCAACCGAAGCCCTTGAAAGAACACAAGAACAACAAGCAAACATGACTAACAAACACACACGTGACTTGCAATTCAACGTAGGGGACAAAGTCTGGCTCTCCACCAAATGCGTTGAACCAGAACAAGGATTGTCAAAGAAACTCCCTTCCCCATCATTGAACAAACCTCCCCCGTCAATTACAACTTCCAACTCCCTCCTGACATGAGCTGTGTCCACCCTGTCTTCCACGTTGAATACCTGAAAGAACACCATGAATCCCCACCCCAATTCGCTGACTGTTCATATCCTAGACCTCCACCAATCATGCTTCCCACAGGCCCAGAATTCGTAGTAGAATCCTTCAAAGGACGAGGAACCACACAAGTATCAGACCATCCGGAACCAATCAAAGAATACAAAATCAAATGGACCGGATACCCCAATGAAGAATCTACATGGGAACCTCTCTCTAATCTCAAGAACGCCATGAAATTTGTTCGCGCCTATGATCGTGCTTACCCTATATCCTAGATACATAATATAACTGAAACCGTAAACCCTTGCATAAACCCCGCCAAAACCCTGCCTCCCTGCACTACACACATCCCCTGTACCCAGCAAACCCCTTGCCCCTTGACCTCCCTCTGCCACATCTCTGTCCATCTTGTCCAAATCCTACATGTGGCCCCTGCGCGCCGCTGGGGATAACGGATCTAATGGCAAGCGCACGAGGACAATGGCATGCGGCAGCGCAGTACGAGGAGATAAGACAGCTGGTTGGCCACCATGCTGTTCCCTTTGGCCCGCACGACTCGCAGACTTCTGGAGCAGCACCTCTGACATGGACATCAAGATCAGTCTGCGACCTGCTATCCGGATCAGACCTCATCATCAGATCGTGTACCGGACGCAACCTGCTACTGGGACAATCAAGCTGAATCCCTCGCCATCTACATCACAGAACTGCTGAAGACTGCTTCCTCACCGCCACTTCTGCGACACCCTCCAAGACCTTCCTCAAGACATATTTTTGATTTTGACACTTTGTTACAGACCTGAGATGCTGTTTTCCCAGACCCCTCGGACACCCCAGCACTTTAGCATTGAACAAACAATTTTTTTTTCCCCCCCCCTCAAACCTGACAACCTATAACCTTGTAGAACACCAATAGGACTGCCCTGTTACTTGTAGAACCTCAATAGGATTACCCTGTTACCTGAACATTGATTCCCTCATCCCTGTAGAACCTCAATAGGATTACCCTGTTACTTGAGCATTGATTCCCTCACCCCTGTAGAACCTCAATACTTGAGCATTGATTCCGTCATCCCTGTAGAAACTCCATAGGATTACCCTGCTACTTGCATTACTCCCCCTTTCCTTTTCTGACCAGTGATCGGCCCGTCCCGTCCTTCACAGTTGTTCATTGGGTCTTTGGCAGCCCGGATGTTGCCTTCCAGAGGGAGGGGATAGTGTTATGGACTCAGCCAGGGCTCGATCCCTGGTCCGCGGGTTACCACCCACCAGGCTGCTATTTTATTTTGAGCCTCTGATCTCCGGTTCCTGACTGTTGGCGCCCTCTGAAGTTGGTGCCCGTTCTCAATTATCCCTTTGGCACTTTCGGATTTCGATACTTGGCGCCATCCGGCATTCTGGCGCCCAGGCTCAGACCTTCGATTTTCAGTTCAGCCCCGAGGCAAATTGCACATCTGCCCTCTGGACTCAACTTGAGTCTGGTACTTAAGACCAGACTCAAGCTGAGTTCGGGCATTCAGTTTTCGGCCTCAGTGCTTGTGCTTCAGTGTGACTTGCTGCGACATTGTGTTCGGAACCCAAGATTGCGACTTAGCGACTTTGCGACTTCGCCAGTTTGTGTCTGTGTCCGTCGAGTCGTGTCGAGTCCATGTCGAGTTGAGTGAGTGTGTGTGTTACATACTGCATTCCACACGGGCCCTTGCAGGCCTGATGACTAGGCTGAGGGGTTCCGAGGGCCTGGACGCGATAATCCAGGCCAGGCCGGCCCAAAGGCCGGACCTTTTTAGGCCGCCCCTTTGGCCTTACGCAACTGGTTCTAGACCAGGCCCTGCAGCCGCAGGCCCTGGGCAGGTTTGGACCGGGCCGCGGTTTAGGCAGCCTGCTTTCCCGAAAACCGGTCCGACCTGAACCACGGATCGGACGATAGATCCGACGATTCAGATCTGAGGCCACCTTGGGTGGCAGAGGCCGAACTGGCTGCCGGCCGGTATTTCGGCCCAGCCAACGGCCATTTCGGGGACTTCAGATGACGGCAGCATTGAGAAATGACCGCTGCGCTATTTCGGTTCCAGGGCAGCGCTAGACAGCAGCGCTAGGTGTAGCGCTGGCTGTAGAGAGAAAGAGAGAGCGAGGAGGGAGACTTACTTGACAGCAGCCACGGGCGCCATAGCTCCCAGCAGCGCAGTCTCCTGCAGCAGCCAAGGCGCCACCTTGTTCCACCAGGTAGGGCCTAGGGCTACTTGCCATCTCCGCCAATGCTCGGCCCCTCTCGGTCTTCTTCTTCTTCTTCTTCTTCTCCTTCTTCTTCAGACTTCATCTTCTTCTTCTTCTTCTTCTTCTTCTCCTTCTTCTTCAGACTTCATCTTCTTCTTCTTCTTCTTCTTCTTCTTCTTCTTCTTCAGACTTCTTCTTCTTCTTCTTCTTCAGACTTCTTCTTCTTCTTCAGACTGGAGACTATTGATACGAGTTGGACAAAGATCAGTGATTGGACTTCGGTGGTAAGAAGATGTGATACTTACCGAATTCGAAACCTTGGAGATATCTGGGGTTGATACCTGGCGGCATCACAGATCGGACATCGGTTACATTAGGATTCTGTATCTCCGACATTGGTAACTAATGTCTCCGACATTCTGATTTGTTGGGTGACATTTTGGGCTACTATATCAGTGACATTCGGATTCTATTTCGGTGACATCTGGCGCTGTCTCTATCTTCCCCCTCCATCGTCTCTCCTCCCACCATTCATCTGTGTATGGGTCTACGGGGCTGAAGCATCGTCTCTGCATGGCTTCAGACCCCACCATCTCACGATTGTTTGTGTGTTGAGTGATGTCTAGGTGAGTTCAGTCTATGTGAGTCAGTCCATTTCTCAGACTTCCGCTGCATACATGCTCATCCTATATTGGTTGATCTTTCGTTCTGCCCATACTTGGTGAATATCTTTCGTTCTGCCCATACTTGGTGAAGTATTCACTAGTATGCAACAGTGTGTGTGTGCTCTCACTCCCTCCCTCTCTCTTCCCCGACCTCGCTGCTCTGCCTCACTCCCGTCACACGCGCGGTGCGCAACGAGTGTGAAATCCGCGCACGGAGGTGCACTGCAACTATGATTTATACACAAGGACATTCAGTACAGTGATTAAGATTGCTCAAGTGCTACTGGTATTTGGGTGTCGGGAAGGCATTGCTTGAGTGCCCTGGGTGATCGATTCCATTGAAAGGATTCATGCGTCCCCGCAGTGTCCCATTTCTTTCCTTCTAGAATGCCGCACGTAGATAAGGCGGCCGACATACAGCATGCCCTAACTGACGGGCATGCTGCCTTGGGCTCTATCAGTCTATGATATGATATAAAACAAAAGGGAGAAGTAGCAAAGGGCCCTGCTACATCCAAAATAATGCATTGGGTGGATGCCTTGGCATTGAGAAAGAATGGACGCAATGCAGGGCCTCTTAGGGAGGGGCAGGAGTCACGTGAGGGGAAGAGGCAGATGCTCGAAAGGGAGGCCAGCACCAGGAAGCTTCTCTTTTCTTGATTCAGCACATGGGGAACTAATGGCGTGTTGTTGTGAGCCATGATCCTGGGCGGAGTGAACAGTGCCAGCAAGAGAGATAGTTGGCGGCGCTGGGATTCACAGCCTTCACTGGAGAGAATAGTGTGGAGAGAGAGAGAGGGGGTGAGGACATTCTGAGAGAGATCGCACGACCTGTGCAGTAGAGGGGTGTGTGTGTGTGTGTGAGAGAGAGAGAGAGAGAG